CTAGGCTGCATAAACAGAGGGATAGAATCAAGATCACACAAAGTGTTAATATCACTTTATAATGCCCTGATAAGGCCACACTTGGAATACTGCATCAAGTTTTGGTCACCACGATGTAAAAAAGATGTGGAGACTCTAGAAAGAGTGCAGAGAAGAGCAGCAAAGATTATTAGGGGACTTTAGGCTAAAACATATGAAGAATGGGTGCAGGAACTGAATATGTCTACTTTAATGAAAAGAAGGACTAGGGGAGACATAATAGCAGTATTCCTATATCTCAGGGGCTGCCACAAAGAAGAGGGAGCCAGGCTATTTTCCAAAGGACCTGAGGATAGGACAAGAAGCAATGGGTGGGAACTAATCAAGGAGAGAAGCAACCTAGAACTAAGGAGAAATTTCCTGACAGTTGAACAACTTGCCTTCAGCAGTTGTGAATGCTCCAACACTGGAAGGTTTTAAGAAGAGATTTGATAATCATTTATCTGAAGTGGTGTAGGGTTTCCTGCCTAAGAGGGGGTTGGGCTAAAAGACCTCCAAGGTCCCTTCCAACTCTGTTATTCTATTAGTATTCTGTTAATTTCCTCTTGAAGAAGCACCTTTTGGACATGACCATGGTGTGTCTGTGCATGAGTGCAGCTGTCTAACTTTGAAAATGGGGCATAAATAGCTCTGGGGATGTCTGTTGTAACTTTGGCTGGTCATTAAGCAGCCAGTCTATAAGTTGAGGACTATCTATTCAAGTGTTGTTTTTCACTTCTATAATCTTCTAGTTGACATGGCTTATGTCTACAGGAATCGAAGGTCAATACCTTTGGATGCTCTCAAGAAGGGGGAAATTTATGCATATAACAAAGGGATATAGTTCTTACCGATCAAATGTTTTGGACTTCCATGCCCATAATCCTTTGCTTCTGGTCACTGTAGCTGGACTAATGGGTATTGACATTCTAAACATCTGACAGGCATAAGATACCTTCTCCCTTCTTTTCCTTCGCCTACAAAAGTTGCAATCACTAAATATGGCATTTCAACAGTTTCCCAATTACATTAAGAAGCATTTATTTAATCTGGCTTGTTAAATTATTTTCAGTATTCTACAGTCCCTTTATGAATACATGCTTTAATTAGGGTTTTACAACTTTGGTTTTGCATTTGTTGTAGAAAAAATCTTGCTGGCTTTTAGCTAAAAAGGGGGTACTTAAGCCATTAAAAAGCAAGGCCTTTAAAAGAAGCAAATTAGATACAGTACCGTAAGTTCCACTAGTTGCAGCTTTGAATTTAACATGCTGGTTGGCCTTCAGTTGAGGAGGGATACAATAGAGTGTGATCAATACAATTTCAGGAATTGATTAAATAAAACACTCAAGTATGGGGTTGTAGTGATTTCTTCTTCTTTTTTCAAAACACTAAATGGAACTGCAGCTCTATCCTTTCTTGTGAAAAGAGCCGGAAGGCATTTAGGGGCATAGAGGTTTTGCTCCATGACAATACCGTCATAGCCATCTAACCTATAGAAATTCTATCCCATTGCCTCTCTGACATTCAGCTAAGCATCTGTTACCAGTTCCAGTCCTCCAGGCATTTCTCTAACGCCACCCTAAAGCCACCAAAGTTAATCACCTGGAACCTTTAAGTCTTCTTTTCAAGTCTTCTTGCGAGTGGGCTCAGCAACACTTAAAGGTTACGGATGCAAAATTGGTAGCACACGTATACTACACACTATATAAATCTTATTCCAGCACCCACTGACGATATAGCATGTGTTTTTCAACCTCAGCCATTTTAAGATGTGTGGATTTCAAGTCCCCAGAATTCCTTAGTCAAATTCCCTGGCTGTGGGATTCTGGGAATTGAATCCACACATCTTAAAATTGCTGAGGTTGAGAAACATTGAAATAGCTGACTGAAAAGCTCATCAAAAAGGATTGTGCTAAATACTAATTGTTCCCGGTGTCACAGTCAAACATTGCAAGGGAGGTAGGGTAGCTGGGATAGCATCTAATAGTAGAGGCCTAGCATGAGGTACAGATCATGCCAGGACATCAGCGTGGCAAACTAGCCTAAGATGGTTCAGATGACCTTCTGTAACTCAATGACCTCCAAATATGGGGCATGCTGTTCCCATCATGCTGAGAAATGCTCTTATAAGAGTGGGAATGAGATGGAAAGTAGCATCATTGGCAATCCAGCAATGGGTTAATTTCAACATCATGCCAACTAACGCTGTGCTCTAATCCCCAAACAGCTGGTAATTTGTCTCTTCCTGTTTGCAGGGTTGAAGCGAGGAGTGTGTGTGAAAATCAACCATTTTCCAGAGGACACAGACTATGATCACGACAGTGCGGAATACCTCCTACGTATGTATAAATAGGTGGCTTATTCATTCTTGTGTCTTGGCCTCGGCAATGCCCTGTCACCGTTGTTCTTTGAAATGTATGGATTTTTATGGCATCACCAGCATAAGGAAAGGGCGGTGTGGCAGCTCAGCAGTTAAGATGCTGGACTTTTCAGCTGGAAAGCTAGCAGCCCAGGTTAGAGACCCTAGTGCCATGTGACGGGGTGAGTTCCCATCCTTGCTCCAGCTCCCTTGCGCTCTACATGGGGCAGCCCTTGAAGAGCATTCAGAGACTTCAGCTCGTCCAGAATGCAGCTGCGCGAGCAATTGTGGGTGCACCTCGGTACACCCACGTTACACCTATCCTCCGCGAGCTGCACTGGTTGGTCTCCGGCTACGCTTCAAGGTGCTAGTCGTCACTTATAAAGCCCTTCATGGTATTGGACCTGG